TGGTTTAGATAGGAAAAATATTTCAGAGAAAACAAATGAAATCCATTGATGAATCTTTGCAAAGGATTTTTTTTTTTAATTAAATAAGAGAAAAAAACTTGGTTGTTTTTTTTTAACAAACGAAATTTGTAAATAGCAATAATAATAATTCAAGCAAAACAACTCGAATAATAAACGAATGATGATAATTCGAATTATAACAATAAACGAATGATGCAATTCGAATGATAAACGAATGATGTCAATTTGAATAATAAACGAATGATGATAATTCGAATTATAGCAATAAACGAATGATAACAATTCGAATAATAAACGAATGATGATAATTCGAATTATAACAACAATAATAGTATGTGTTGTTTGAATATAAAATTCTGATTGGCTAATTTGAATTTCATGCGCGTGAATTTCAAATTGATGCAAATTCACAGATGCGCATGATAAAGAAGTTATGTGTACCAGAAAATAAAATTCCATTTGTCTGCAGGACATAATTAGGGGTTTGATTCATTTTGTCGACAGTCATTTCGTCGACACCCATTTCGTCGAAATGAACTTTCGATGAAACAAACTTTCGACGAATGGGTGTCGAGGAAATGATTGTCGATGAAATGATTTTCGACCAAGTAAACGCGACCGCATAATTAGATAACGTTGTATAATGATAAATGATTCATGGTTTGAATGTGCTCACATAGTATAAACTTGAATTTTATCTTGATTGCTTGAAATGGACAGGGATGTCGTGGCTGAATGTAAAAGGTTGAATTCCATGTACCGAAATGTCCTGAGAGGAATGTCTCTATGTTGGTGTTACAAAAAAATTGTGGACGGCTATTTATATGTTTCAAATTTAATAAAATAGACTGAGCGATGTCATTTTTTTGCTTTTTGCAAAGTAATTGTGTAATACATAAAAAGCAAGAGCTCACATTGCGCACTCGGCTGTAAGCTTGTTATTTATATGGTGGTACATGGATTAAGAGACGTACTATATAGGTAATTAATTTACTTCTGATATTTTGAATATCCTTTCACAACTAACAATATGAGGAGAAATCGCATTAATCATTAAACTAATTTTTGTATATGATTATAAAATGTAATTCAGGAACAAAATTCAAAATCATATGGTTGGATTTTAACGAATAATTTGACAATTGTGCAATTAGTTTATTTGCCGAAGTATCACTACTCTCAAGAGATTTCCAAGCACAAAGTGCCTTTTTGCATATTATTTGAAAAGTAATGGCACGCGATCCTTTGTCTAAATTGATCATTATATTTAATCAAATTTTGTTAACATTAAATTCACTCCAATGTTTATCAAAAATACTAATTGACATCTTCTTTGGATGTGATTATTTATACTTTGTGGAAATTCCTTAATAATCACTGCCAATTTTCTTAAACAAACGAAAGTGACACTTTTATGTTTAAATATAACAATTGCTTTCTTAATTGGTTCAAGAATTGTTTGAAAGTCCAATAAAATTACGATCTAAAATTGACAAAATATTGTTATTAAATAAATAGGAATTGTTTTCTATCATTAAAATATATTAGAAAAACATTAATCTATATCACTGACTTAAAATTAAAAAACTTACGTTTTTGATTACATTTGACATCTTGTTATGGAGTTTGTACAGTCAAATGCTGTTGTCCAACGTGTTTTTACATGTTGTATTAAACACCACTTACTATCCGATTATTAACAATTTCTTCTCTCAAATTTTCACCAGCAACATGCGATTTAGTGAAAAATTTAACAATTTTGATTACCACTCCTAACTTCATAATACCATCGATTAAGAGATTGATGTGATGTTGGAATTATATGAGGATATCGTGCAGAAATCAAATGTTTTGCTAAAACTACATTTGCAGCATAGTCAGAGAGCACACCAGAAAATTTATTTACACCAACTTCATTAAGAACTCGTGATGTTTCAGAACATAAGAAATTTCCAGTGTGTGAATCTTTTTGAAAATTTCTTTAGTGTACAAACTCTTTTCTATCCGATGTCATAATTACAAAAATATACCTGCCGGAGAAGTCCAACCATCTAGACCTGATTTGTTTTAAATTTTAGTCAAAATTTTAAAATTATTAATAAAATAAATAATTACCTAGTGTAAGATTAACCTCATTGATGAAGTGATTGAAATTATTTTAGCAAATTCTAAATTAACAAGTGTAGTATATGAAGTGGTTCTTTTAGGAAGTTGAAATTCACATAGAGATCATCAATAAAATCTACAAAGCATGGGTTTTCAACAACCAAAAACGGAATTCCACAACAGGCAAAAAATTTCAAGCATATGGACACCCAAGTTGTTTTTCGCTTGTAATTGTTTTTTTCTCGAGATGGTCAAAAATTCTTGTTTTTCATATCATCATCATCCTCACTAATTTCATCATTTTGCAATACGTTTTAGGTGGCAGGGTTTAGTGCAAGATAAATGCAATAAGAGATATCGTGTCAGAACTTTTTCCACGAGCCCATTGTTGATCACAATAATTGCATTTTGCACAGGTTGTTTATTATCGTTATTATTGTTAGAGCTGCTAATTTCAATAAAATGTTGCCAAATTGGTCTATTAATTTTTCTTCTTAAATGATCATTCGTTCGTTTGTAACAAAGTCAATTCACCATTGTTATTATCTAATTATAAAATCAATTAACACATATAAAAATACCACTGAACGAATATGAATCAACAAAAATAAGATTTTCTTTGTTTTTTTTAAATATATAATTGTTTTGGCCTTGTTATACTGATTAACTTATTCAAGATTATCAACAACAAAACGTTGAGGGGTGTACCACAAATGTACAAATTTGGGAATTCTTCAATAAGCTGCTTGTTCATGATTTTGTGTTATTTTTCTTTCTTCTTGATAAATTTCACAGGTAATTCTTTTTTACCATATATAAGCTTCAAGTGTCAAAGTATCATTTATTTTGAAAGCATAAGGAGCAATTTTTCTCACTTCGTCCTTTCTTCAAAATACTTCTGATTGTGCTATGTTCCATAGTGGATTTTTTTTCGCTGGGAAGTTCATGAGCCAACATCGTCGATATAAATAAGTTTCATATTAAAATTATTTTTATTATTATGCAGAGGTAATCCTATATTGATATAAGAAGCAAAAAACAAATACCTATGATTGGTAATACAAATGTTTGTTTTGTTCCATATACAATCGTTTTTAACTTCGTGAAACACGAAACATAATTTTACAAATTGGGAAGCCATACAAATAAATATAAAAAACAAGAAAAAGGCGCCATAAAGCTAATTAACTTTAAAAGGTTAATATTTGTTACTTAAATTAAATTAAAATTATGTAATATTGACCTCGGAATCCTTTATACTAATTTCTTGCTATAGCTATTATAATTATTTGTATATTCTAAAGACCCAAACTATTGTTAATGAAAGTCAATTTAATTTATCATCAACTGAATAAAATGACGCAGGCACATACACTAATTGATTTGTTGATAAATAATTAGATTGATCCAAAATCACCACCTTCTAACAAATCATTTTCTCCATTTGAATTAACATTGGCATTGTTATTGTTGTTATTATTAGTTCTTTTTGGATCAAGAGTTGCTGATGATGACATTTGTCTTGAATTGTTAGATGAAAACTATTGTTTAGCTTCGTGTCCAATCTTTTTTTAATAAAAAACATGCTGCAACAACGTTTAATATTAAAGTTACTCACTATTAATCCAACCGTAGAGCCAATCGACATTGATGTAGATTTTGTGGTCGAAATAGATGCTGTTGTCGAAGTAGCTGTTGTAGTCCAAAATAGCTGTTGTGGTTGAAATAAATGTTGTAGTCGACGCAATTGTCACCAATGAGGAAAGTTCTGCCATTATGTTATATTATCTTTTCTTTTTTAACAATAAAAGGAGCAATAAAAAAATATTCTATTTTGTTAGGTTATTTATCCATACAAATTTTCTTTTTTTGTCTAATAAACCATTTTAAAATGATGACAGAATTAAAAATTTTTTTTAATTATACTATTACTATGATTATTAGCGCAAGAAAGAAATTAGTTGGCATTGGTACTACGCTTCGTTATCCTTTTTTGTTTAGAGAGTTTTAGAAG